CTTTCATATTTTGCATAAGGAACGTGTGCTTTTTCAGCCTCCCTGTACTTGAAATAAAAATGGGTAAATGAAGAGTAGTGGGCACACTTAGACTTTCTTTGGAGAGGCCCCCTGCTCCCCACGTTTTCTATCTGTGGTAACAAACAACACACGCAGGACAACCTCATGCACAGCCAGGGCTTCCTTCCAGAATACACAAGACTCCCCCTGCCTGAGCATTTCTGAGCAATTAGCACGTTGTGCCCCAGGAGAAAGGCAGGAGAAGGGCAAGGCGAGCTGTGCTCACTGCTTGCCCTCACCCCAACAAGCTGCCTGTGGAAGGTCACATCTTCCTTCACCTCACAGAACCTACTGCAAAGCTGCTTCACAAGAGCCAGCGCCCTGGTTTGCTGCTGCACGTGGCACAGAAGGATGGCCCCAAAGGTACTTCTTGGAAGAAATAAAAAATAATAATGGTTTACTTTTAGAAATACCAAAAAAACCACCTTCCATCCAAGGAAAATCCCCAAACCACCACGATTCTTTCCCCATCCTTTTCTCCATTTCCTTAAGACATTCAAACCTGGCTACAAATTTCCTCCAGGCTTTTCAGGGGGCAGCAGCGATGTGCCAGGCATTACGCGAGTTACAAGGCTATTACAGCTTGCATTATATGCCATAGCTCATCTTCAAGGACAAGTTACCTGGGAAAGTCCTAGGATGAATAAAATAAAAAATTTAAAAAAAAACCAAAGTCATAATACATAATATAACGCAAAGATTATCATAACCCAATCAAACTCCTCCCTGTTCTGTCCAAAAATAATCCCCCCCCAAAACACAGAGGCTTCAGATGAAAATTGGGTTTCTTCCTCTACCAACAGCCAAGCCCCCAGCTGCATCTCAGGGAGAGCCCAGGCATCTGCCCTTCCTCAAAGGGCACCGAGGAGCTCAGCTACCACAGCAAGCCTGAAGGACACAGCAGCAACGCAGTGGGACAATAGCAAGTCACCTTTTCCAACAGCCAAGCCCCCAGCTGCATCTCAGGAAGAGCCCAGGCATCTGTTCTTCCTCGAAGGGCACCGAGGAGCTCGGCTACCACAGCAAGCCTGAAGGACACACAGCAACACAGTGGGACACTCAGCAAGTCACCTTTTATTCCCTGATGCCTCTTCAGAGGGAACTGAGGTAGCAGAGACGTATTTCAGTTGAAACAGCAGAGCAGTGCACATATTTTAAGGGCTGCTCAGCAGCTCATCCTGCCAGGAAGAAGAAAATTTCCTTTGGCTCAAACTAAACTCCTTGCTCTCCAGAGGTACTAAACGGTAAAGCTTTTCCTCTCAACAGTCATATTTAACACGCGAAGTGACTCAAGACCATCCGTAAGTGCTCTGCTCAGCTCGAGGTGCACTTCACCCATCTGACAGCGTAAACTCCAGCTCCCCCGAAATCTTTTTCAGCTTGTTTAGAAGCATCCAGCCCAGGCACTGGCCTAGATTAGGAGGGCAGTTATGCACACACGAATGGCCTTGACCCACTTCTCGCCACATCGTCTTGACTACTCGGAGCTGTGAATTCTGTTTTATTATTAGCACCAAAACAAAAGCCTGTGTATATACATGAGGTCCTATGAATGGCCATTCACTGTACAGGCAAGGAATGAAGAGAATCGTTCTATTATTTCCCATCATCCTCCTCCTCCTCCTCTCGCCAACCCACCGACAGACCCACTGGATGCCATGGCTATAGAAATACCTTTGACTGGCAGCGTTTGGCTCCCATTCAGAGCAGATGCCTCGGGACCTGGTGACTTGGTAGCACCCATGGGCACAGACATGGTGAACTGAACGTCCTTCTGAGATGAACAGGAAAACTCTTTAATATTCAAGTAAGCAAAAGCAGCTTAATGTGTGTTTTCCTTTAAACAAACAGTTTCAAGACCCAGTTGCCCCCCCAATATACTATACTGCAAAGCAGAGAGACTGCTTCAACCAAAGTCAAACATGAAGGCAGTTTCTTCTTCAAAAGCATTTGTGGGTTTCAGCTCTCCAGCTCACAGGAAAGGTGAATAACTCGTGGGTACAAGGTGAAAAATAAGACCCATCCCACTACAATAAGCAGCAAGGCTGCTGTCCAGGACATTAAAGCACTCACTACAGCAAGAGCACGTTTCATGCTTCATCATCATAAAGATAGTTCTCTATAGGACTCTAATGCAGCTCATACTGAAGGGCAGTAAGTGTAAGAGGCTGAGATTTGTCAAAGGACAGAACAGAGGTTTTACAGTTCATCCTGCAGGCACGTACACTGCCTGAAGTAAACGTAAAAATACAGAAAACAATCTCATCTAAAAGGTGTTCCTAAAGGACTGCACTATTCCTCTCCTCAAAGAGCGTGTATTTGCACAAAAGGCAATCTTCTAGCTTCGTGTTGTCAGAGAAATTTTAGAAATGTAAGCAAATCCAGGAGTTTTGCTTCTAGGATAAATAAATAAGGCAAAGGTTATTGCATTTGTGCTCCCTGCTCTCATCACGAAAGCAGGACCCTTGTCCCATCTGAGCAAGCTGATGACCTGCTGAACATTCAATTAATTCCAATCCAGGCTACATCTACACTAGAAAGCAAAATGCACCAAGCCCCAGGAAACCCTGCTCTTCCAGCTATAGACCCGGCTAAAAAAAATGAATTACTGATTTCAAATGTTATTTTAAAATGTGATACAGACCAGTGAACAGAGCACTGCACACAACTGCTCCAAAATCTTCATGGCTTATTCTTTTATAGACACAGCTTGGAAATGCTGCTCTCCCACCTGTGAGTTTCCTACCCTTCATTGCACAAAACTTACAGCCCTGGCCTAAACACAAGAAGTAGGCTGCCAGCTCGAAACATGTTTTGAAACTGAAGTTAAAACTACGACAGAACCTGCAATCTTAACAGTCAACCACCAAACACAGTGCTGTAGGGAAACGTGTTACTTCAAACTCCAGTGTGGAAAAACACAGAGGTAGAAGGTATCCTCTGGTGTTTTCGAGTTATATAGAAAGGGGAACAAAAGGTTCTGTTTGACCACATCCTTCCTTTTCTTGCAGATACCAGTGCTCCCTGCTCATATAACCTGTGTAAGATTTCTGCCACAACAGAATTGCCACACTCAGCTCCCTGATACCGTGCAACGCGCACAGCACCAACGCCCTGAAGCAGAAGAGGGTGTCTGTGCACGGAAAAAGAGTAACCGCCCCTTCAGAAACCACCTTTAAAAAGAAGCACGAGCCTGGTCTCTCAGGGTGGGGATCTGTACTGGCATCACCTCACCCAGCTGCTGGGGTCATAGCAAGGCAAGTCCTGGTCCTGCCACCACCCTCCTGGCTCCACAAAGTCTCTCCTTCCCTTCTCCTGGCACCTGCTCATGTGTACAACAGGCCAGGCGAAGGACCTCCCCTAAGACCCATCTGTAAAAACAGCACCCACTATTTAAAGGCAGGTGTAGAAAGGAAAAGAAAGTGTCCCTTACTGTTTTTCCCCCCCTCTCCTATGTATGCTCAATGTCTCTGTTTAAACACTTACCATTACAAAACCCTCCTGGTTTTCACAGTCTAACAAAGATGAACATATGCATCAGTGGAAGAGCAGTCAACCACGAACTGCATCACAGCCAGGTCACCAAACTGATTTTCATACCGTGCCTCTTCTCTTTTCCTGCTCCTTCGTGCAGGGGGAAGTTTCTTTCATTTCAACATTTGGCCAATAGTTCAGGAGACATGAGTTCAAGCTCTTGCACCACTACACCACTTGAAACACTACACAGTTCCTGTGTACTCGTGGACAGCACATTTACTTTCCTGTGCTTTTACTCCCCAGCTGCAAAGGGAAGGTGTCTTCCCCACCACAGGGACATGCAGCACCTTCCCACTTCAGCGTGGTTCAGAGAGGATTTAATCTAAATGAAGTGTGCACAGAGATAAGCCTGACAAGAACATGCAAGATGCAGAAAGAGGAATATCACCGAGAAATGTAGTTCTAGTCAGATAATTTATCTTTCTCCTAAAAACTGTTTTTCCTATCCAAATTTGTACCTCTATGTTCAGGTTAGCACATGACCAATTCCCTTTCCACAGCTGAATCCTTCCACTGGCTTATGTTTAATTTTAACATCAAAACCAAAATTACAGAAGAGTTGCAGGCTCTTTGCAGCTTCTATGTTAAGCTGCAAACCATACTTCCACCGATACTCCATCAGGTCTGGCCAAACCAGAATAAACTTTAGTCTGGCCCCTGCGCTGATGAAGCATTAAGCACATTATTTCGCCTCCAAAGTCAGACAGATCTTGCTCTTTGATGCTTGCTCCTTCCAGAAGTGTCAGAACAGTATCAGCTGTGAGTGGTGTCTGACACGCTCTTTTTGTGTACTTATGAGATGCAAATGGATCTAAAGCTGTACAGCACAAAGATGTCAGATATAAAAAGGGCTCAGCAGAGACTCTGCAAAGCTGAGTGTTGAAACTTGCTCTAAAACTACCACAGCACCATGACAGCCTTAGAGTTAGCCACATGTATTTAATACTGCTACCTGCATACAAAGGTAACATCCTTTTATCCAACAAAATCTGGGGTTTTATAAACTGATAGAGCCAAAGTTTTGTTAAAGCCAATTACTGGTTAAATAGTTCCACTCTTCTTCCCACAGCGAGCAAACAAGAGATTTTGCTTCTATCTTTCCCAATTTTTCTTCTCCAATTTTTAGATAATTTTGCCATCGTTACTGATGCTACAAAGGGGTACGCTCAAAGCCAGTTGTTTATCTCAATATTGCCAGTATGGCAGTAGGTGAAAACCCAGAGACTCCCCCACACCCCGCTCTATTCACTCAGTCTCTCTCAAGCAGTGGCTGTTCCGCTGTGTGACTATCAAACAATCTGCCACTTCAGCAAATGCACTGGCCACGGCCACCACACACAAACCAGCTTGTAGAGAAGAGGCTAGTGCTAGAAAGATCTCCCACCAGCAGCTCCCCCACTTACCCAGTGGCACAGGGGTGGCGGAGGGCAGTTCAACACAGTTAGTCTCAACACCTTGAAATGCTCAGGAGCGAGCTGGAGTTCAGAGAAACTTCTTAGTTTTGAAGAGAGAGGAAAAAAAGATGCCAAGACTGAAAAAGAAGGAAGGGAGTAAATTAAGGGATATAAACTCTGAGCAGAAAGGAGAAAGTAAGCAGCAAAGTATTTAGAGGACCTGATGAGATGACTCTCCCACCTCTAACCTTTACTTTTGGGAAGCATCAGCATACCATTTTAATTAACAGTACTTAACTGCTGGAGGCAAAATAGCAACATTACTCTTGAGCATTTTGGACTCTGAAAAACACAAGTGACACTTCACCTGCCAAAATCATCCCTGGCAAAACTCCACTGACATCAGAGGAGCTACACCAAGCATGAAATTGACTTGAAGACAATAAAGGCTTTGTTTTAGGAGATATGGGGCATTTGTGGTTTTTTTTAATAAAGCCCAGAAAACAATTGCTTATTGTCCCTAAGCAAATAATGCTGACAGTAAGCAAGCAGCTATCACATTCACAGTACACACTGTCTGTCCATATATTGCTACAAAAACAACCATCAATAAAGGACGAGACTCTCAGTGTCCTGTTCACATCACAGGGAGATTAAACACAGTTTAAACACCTCTCAAATTGCCTACAAGATCCACAAGCAATTATTCCCATTTTTAACAATGTTCTCCCGCGCTCCCACTTCTCTGCCAAGTCAATGAAAGTTAAATATCCTCATTAGTGCTGCAGGGTTCAGCACACAGATACACGTACCACAACGCAGCACAGAGAGTTATTCAACAATACTCCCACCACAAACTACACACAGCGACCACATTATGCTCACACAGAAGCATCTTTTCCTCATTTTGTTGCATTTTTGTTTGACTCCGCAAATTCCCAACGAAACCCGAAAAAGTTCACATGTTCCTGCCTCTCTCTCTCTCTCCAGTTTGCTACAAGCATCACCCTGAACTCACAGGACCAGCCTCTGCTCCAACGGCATTCGCACAGTATAGATCTATGCCAGAACTCATGAAGATATGAAAAAAAAAAAAAATTAATAATAAAATAAATCCAACAGGAGAGGCAAAGCGGTGAAGTTACACAGAGCTCCTGCATCGCACCCCTTCTCCTTGTGAACCCCCAAAATACATTCATCCAGGCAGCTACCCTGCCCAGCTGCTCTGATGGTCGACCCAATGTGTAGGAAAATCTAGATATTTGGGCTCTAGGGGCTCTTCAGGGAAACTTTGACAGAACGGCAGTGGGATGGATGGATGGATGGATGGAAGGAAGGATGGACGGACAGGGAGCCCCCGGGGCTTTTGGTGCTCCCACCTTTGACTTTTAAAAAAAAAAAAAAATTTGTAAGGAAACAGCCACCCTCCACACTTTGCACAAATGAAGTTCAGCTGCTCCGAACTCCCACTTAACAGGGCAAATAAAATATGTGATGTGTTTTCATTCGGTTTTCCTCTTCCTCCCCGACACCACACGCCCCCGGCCCCACCAGCCCGCAGCCCCCGGGCCCCGCCGGGCCGTGGGGCAGAAGAAGTCACCAGAGAATCAAAGTTTCCCCATCGACAAGCCCAAACCCCCCCCCGGCTCCTCAGCCCCGGCCCGGCGGGGGGGAAACCCCCGGAGCAACCCCCTGCTCGGCCGCGGGGGTCGGCGGCCGCCCCCGGGCACCTTCTACCTCGCTCCCCTCATTATTTTTTTTAAGCAAAACTACGATTAACTCCCTGAATTTCCCGCCCCCCCCATACACCTCCATTCCCGAAGGAACGAAGGGGCAGAGATGAGGCGCGTCAGGGGGTGCCGCCGCTCGGGGAAGGGACCCCCTCTCTCCTCACCCCGCGGACCCTCACAGGC